ATGAAAATTGTCAAAAAAAGTGATAAATTTTTTTAACATTGTGTCTAAATTTTTTTCAAATTGTAAAAGAAAAAAAAAAAAAAAAAAGAGCAAAGGCTGGAAAATTATTTGACAACAAAACCGAAGGAAAACCATTTCATTGAAAAATGGGAAATCATGGCACGTGGAGTGAAAGAAGGAAAAGAAATTCCATGGATTTTTTTGCTATCAAACATTCAATTTGGTTGGAAAATGAAAACATTTTCTAACTTCCATAGAAAGGGTTGCCTATCAAACAGGGCATTAGTACTAGTGGACACTGATTAAACCTTTCCAAAAAGTAACAAAAATGATAAAAACATAAAATCACCACTGATCTTTACCGATAGAAGTGTGATACTTTTGGTTCTCTGTATTAATTTTATTTTTTTGATAATCGTGAATGTCCGAACCAGCTTGCTCGCACCTCGACTAATCTCACGGGGCTCTGAAGTTTACGGCCGGGTACTCACCTCAGTGGCCCTAAGAGGACTCGAACAGGTGACCATTGAGGTTCTCTATATTAATTATGTGCTTTAACGTAAAAAAATGCCTCTATCAAACTGTTTTTGGGGAAGGTTTCCTTAAATATTTTACTTATAAGATAAAGATCAGCTTGCAAGCGAATATCTGTTCACATCTGTAGAAGAACAATTTATTTACACTGGCACAATGTCAGTACTATCTGCTTATTTTCCTTTTTCAGGATTATAAGACTGAGTGAAATACAATTATGATGGGCAAATTTTGGAAGGTTTAATGTCCTTACCAATTTGATGTTCCTCTCATCATTTCTCCCTACCACATTTTTATTCCAGGACGTAAAAAAGAAAAATAGATACGTTGTCTGAGTTTCAGCTTATAAAATTGTGGATCTGTAGGTGCTCATTATGGTAAAGATTTGTGGAAGGCTTCTATGACGACTTTTTGGTCTACTTGGATAGGGGACGAAACAAAAAACTGTCTTAGGTTAAAAAATTGGCCTTTCATTGCTTATGTGGACGGGATGTATTCTTTTCTTCCTTGTGGGCTGAGGCAGTTGGTTATTTTGGTTGTCCAGCTTTAATGGATTTCATAGTTTCTGGAGGACATTTATTGTGATATTCCTGTATTCCTTTAATGATATGTCATTGAGGACACCATGTCTTTCATCTTTATAAATCTTTCCTTTGCTTGATAAATTCATTTTTCATCTTGAAAAGATTATGCAACTTGCAACCTTTTATCACTCTCTTTGCTTATCTACTTTTGACAATGAATTCATCATCTTAACAAATGCAGGTGGCTCACTCAGCATATCCTGATTCTCCTCTAGGCCCTGATGCATTTCGTGAATATGAATCTTTGCTCCTTCAAGATTATGAAGAGAATGCTAAGAAATGCTTGACGAAATCCAGAGAGCCATGCAGCAGTGAATTCACGGAAAGTATTGTTCCTGAAGAAGAAGGCTGGTCACAACTATCTTCAATTGAAGATGACGTTTCTGCCTTAGATGACACTTCAAATGCAAGAGCATCATACAAAGATGATTCAATTGGCCACTCAGAAGATGCAGGACAAAAGTTGATTGTTTTTGTGCGTCACTTCCCTTTGATTCTGTGTCCTTTTTCTCCACGAGTATTTGTCCTACCTTCAGAAGGATCAGTTGCTGAAGCCTGCTTATCAACTGAGCATGAGAATTCCATAAGCTTTGGGTTACCTCCGTTAAGTACAGGGACGCCTACCGATGCTGATGACATTTCTCCTGGGGCAACCCTTACTGCTCAATTTATTTATCATTTGGTCTTGAAGGTATTAAAGCTTCGTCTTTTTGGAATTCACTTGTCTGAGCTCCATTCTTTAAAGATTGTGTTTGGTTTTGCTAATTTATTTGGTTAACCAGTTGGTTTCTTCTTATAAAACTGAATTGTAGGAATTTACTCGTCTGAACTTCATTTCTTATAGGAGGGATAATCCTGTTAATGCTAATAAATGTAAAAGTTCAGAGCATGAGAAATCCTGATAAAACAAGACAATAAGAGCTTGCTCTGACACCTTGAGTCTAATTGACATTTCAACATAACGTGATAAATCGATTCAGAATCGTATGACATAAAACAAACCATGAAGGTGGCAAAAAAATGTATGATCTCTTCTTTTGGATAATATTTTTGGTACTTAACTTGTACTAAAATATGTGTTGAATTTGTCCATATCTCTGGGTCTTAAACGGCAAGTTCCTTTACCTTCTGAACTTCGAAAGAAATACACAACCAGAGACGTCTAGCACTCTTGCTGAAAACAATTTCTTTCATCTGTCGGCTATTTTGAATTCTCATCAATGACGTTATTTTCATTATGCCCGATACTCTAGTTCAGTCTGTATCACAATATACTGTATTTCATTCCTCAAGATGCTCTTATTTATCTAAATATGCAGATGGATCTGAAACTTGAAATATTTTCTCTCGGCGATTTTTCGAAAACTGTAGGAAAACTTTTGACCGACATGTCTAGTCTTTATGATGTTGGTCGTCGTAAAAGATCAGCTGGGCTTTTACTAATTGACCGCACACTTGATCTTCTTACTCCTTGCTGTCATGGGGACTCACTGGTGGATCGCATCTTCTCATCTCTGCCCCGTAGACAACGGACAACATCTATAAATCATGTGAGAGCCTCCAAAAGCCAACTTAAAAAGGGCCCTGTTAAACTAGAGCGTGCTCCTCTTGATGTTCAGATTCCATTAGAAAATATTATAAGGGAAGAAGAGTCGAAAAACAGTAATTTTCAGCTTTTAGAAAGTATACAAGCATTTTTGCGTGGGTGGAATACTACTGACTTGGATACTAATGTTGTTGAGGTGGTGATTCTCAGTGATAGACTGAAAGATGAAAATTCCTTGCGACATTCTGAGAGTGAGATCCTCCATGGATCTTTTGTTTCTGCAGAAAATTTTGACAGAACGCCATACCTCGAAGCAATACTTGAGCGGAGGACAAAGGATGGGGCAATTTTGATCAAAAAATGGCTGCAAGAAAGCTTACGTCGAGAAAAAATATCTCCGGATACAAAAATTCGTCCTGGTTTTCCATCAATTTCAGAATTGCAAACTCTGGTTAAGCCACTGGCTAAACGGCAGTCATCTTTAGTGAGAAATAAAGGAATCATTCAGCTAGCTGCAGCCACAATACATGCCTTAAATGAACTACATTCTGCTAGTTGGGATGCTTTTAGTAGCGCAGAAAAGATACTGCACGTAAATGCTGGAGACACAAGCCAAAGCCTTGCTGCTCAAATGAGTGACCTCATTAATAAGAGTTCTTTTGTGGGTCCGCAAGCACAGAAGCATAACAAAACGGAGGCCTCACAAGGACTAGTTACTCTTCAAGATGCACTGCTTCTGACCATTATTGGATACATATTGGCTGGGGAAAATTTCCCAACGTCTGGTTCTGGTGGTCCTTTTTCTTGGCAGGAGGAGCATTTCATGAAAGAAGCTATCGTGGATGCTGTTCTTGAGAACCCAGCCATGGCAAAACTAAAGTTCCTCCAAGGTTTGTTGGAAGAGCTTGAATCCAATTTAAACAAGATGAAATCGGATGAGAAGAAGGAAGGTCCTTCTAATCAGTTGGATGATGCTGATTTTGACGATGATCAGTGGGACAGTTGGGGTGATGAAGATGCCGATAAAGATACAAAGAAAGAGCAAGTGTTTAGTGATGTGCAGCTAAAGCTAGAGCTTCGAGATAGGGTGGACAATCTTTTCAAATTCCTCCACAAGTTATCCAGCTCAAAGGGAAATACACCTCTGAGAGAGGGGATATCATTCAACTATGATACATATTCAAGTAAAACATTGCTTAGTAAACTTCTAACAAGGGTATTGGGTAAGCATGACCTGCCCGGTTTAGAGTACCATTCCTCAACTGTTGGACGACTTTTTAAAAGTGGGTTTGGCCGGTTTGGCATTGGACAGGTAATTCCATTCTGCCTACTATCACTTCATTTTTCTCACAAAGTTCCAAAGTAAGGTAAATTTTTCTTTTAATCCTGCAGGCTAAACCGAGTCTTGCAGACCAGAATGTTATTCTGGTCTTTGTTATAGGAGGCATCAATGGTCTTGAGGTTTGTAGGCTGAAACAAATTTTATGCCTCTTTTTTGGTTCTTCATTAGCAACATGATGATTGATGACTATTATCCATGTTTTGCCAGGTAAGGGAAGCTCAGGAGGCATTGATTGAGAGTGGCAGGCCCGATATTGAATTAATTGTTGGTGGAACAACTTTTCTAACCCCAAATGACATGCGTGAATTACTTTTGGGCGACTCGAGTTGTATTTAAGCTTACCTGTGTTATGTATGGCTTTTAGCTGCAAATGTAGGTGTAAACATGCTTCTTCATACTGTAAGGTGATCCAACTTTTCAATCTTTTTCCTATGGACTTCGTTGAGTAAAATACTACTACTTTTGACTATAACAACATACTGATAAAGACAACATACTGATAAAGTTTGAAAGATGGGACGTTTCATGTTCTGTTGGTGCTTGAAACAATTTTGTCTTTTTATTGTATTTTTTTTATTTGTTAAGAATGATAAACATATTTCTTATTTAAGGAATTATCCAATGAGATTTATTTGTCTTGAAATTTTGCTCATTTGTAAATTGTAAACCATCTTCCCAAAACATTTTTTTTCTTAAACTTATCTTTAATCACGTATTCACATAATAAAATATTTTGCATGTAAATTAAAAAAAAAAAAAAAATTCCCACTTTTAACCACACATTCTCTAAAAAATCACCATTTCAAAATTTATTTTTCCCAAAAAAAAGAAAATTCTCTTTAATGCTTATTAAATAGGGGTTTATTCTCCTTTTTTTTTTTTTT